AGCCGATGATGCGCCGCCGCCGCCGCCGCCCCCGCCCCCGCCCGCGCCCCCGGCGCCCCTCTGCCTCTTGAGTCCCTCCAGCAGCTCGTTGACGGCCCTGATCTGGCTGTCCAGGGCGCCCCTGTCCTCCTTCCTGCCGCGGTCCTCGTCCACCTCCTCAAACACGTGGCTGGGGAGAGGGGGGGGGTTGGGGGTTGGGGGAAGGCAGGGAGGAGGGCCGCGGGGTGATGGGCTCGCATTGAGACGCCCACGACCACCGTCAAGAGTACGCGAAAGCACCACGCAGGGAGGGTGGGGCACGACGGGGGGCACACGGGGCGGCGAGCCAAGGCGCAGCCTGGGTGCGGTTTGGGCCTCAAGCGCCTGGTGAGAGCCAGGCACCACCGTGCGTGCGACTGCCGCGGGCGCAGGACCCCCAGGCCCCAGGCCCCCGGGGCCGCACCTGTACAGTGGTCGTCGCGTCAGTGGGTCCCAGGCCGGCTGCCCCAGCCTCAGCCGCTGCACCCAGCTGGCGGGCATGCGGCGCTCCGCCTTGATCACGTAGCTGTGTTTGTTGCGGGGGGGAGGGGGACGTGCAGGGGAGGGTAAAGGATGTGGGGAAAGGAGAGGGGATAGCGATGGCGCTGGGACGAAGGCAGGCTGGCCGGCGCGGCAGCCCTTGAGATTTGAGTGGTCGACTGCAGAGGTGAGAGGTCAGGGGTGCACTGGCCCATGCGGCCCCCGCAAGCAAAAGGAGGTCCGGGCCTCTGGCTGCGCCTGACGCGCGCGTTGTCACTTGAGACCACCCCTCCCGCTCCGCTGCACCCACGTGGCCCATCGGCGCCGCCAGTGGGACTCGGCCTCCTTTTGTGACGCGTTGTATGTGCGTATGATCATGGCTGTCAGCAGGTTGAGCAGGAGGTTGACGCTGGTGGCCATGTAGGCCAGGTAGTAGATGGTGCAGAACGCACTCGTGACCTGGGGGGGGAGGGGGAGGGGGTTGCGCTCGTATTGGGTCATGTGGGTGAGGACGAGCATGCCAGGCGGAGGACGGTCCGTCATGGATGATTGCGGTCATCCGATATGTGCCCCTCTGAGGTCTGGTTTCCTTCACAAACCAAATCCACAGGACAGGTGCACACACGGCCCCGCCGCACCCCCCCCCCCTACCTCGTAGTCGAGGTTGCATATGTAGCCGTACTCCCAGAGGCCCAGGCCCAGGCCCAGGTTGATGAGGCTCATCATGCCCCACGCAATGTTGGAAAACGCACCCACGTTGGGGTCACCCCTGAGGTGGGGGGGTTAGGGTTTGAGTTTGGGGGTGAGGGGGGCGGCGAGGGGTTCAGAGGGGATCGAGAGGTTCGGGGAGTTGGTAGAAAAACAAGGGTCCGGAGAGGAGCGCTCGGTAGCGACCAGGAATCATAAGGGAACGACGGCGAGACGCCGTGCAGGCGCCCACCCCGCGCCCGGCACATCCAGCGCAGCGCCCCTTCAGTCTTTGCGCGCAAGGGCGGCGGCGCGCCACGCACTGCGAGCCCTCCGCGGCCATGGGTCCCGTGTTGCGGCTCTTGTCTGGCGGTGTGTCTGTGACGTAGAGTGTGCCGCGCGTCATGGTGAAGAAGGCCAGGGTGAAGCCGATGTTCCAGAGCACGTAGAGGCTGATGAAGCGCACCACATCAACCTTTGGGGGGAAGGAAAGGGGGGGAGGTTTTATATTGTTGCAGGGTGGAGAGCGGGGCGGGTGGG